AGCACAGCAGATTACACTGGGCGCCAGCCAAGGCGTTGTCGTAGAGACGGCTTGGCGCAGAGAGAGGCATATCCCGCCTCGCACTTCGATTGCTGGTCTTGTAAAGTTTGGGCTCAGTGCCAACACATCGGGTGCTTTCAGGCTCTTCTATGCAGATTCCATACAAATGGCCGCGAGGTGCATGAGTTTATTTTAGCGTCACGCTACGTACGCCGCTTGCCCTTCCCCCACCCCCTACTCGTGTAGGAACCATTCCCATATTTTAGGGGAAGGGGCTGGGCATTCCTTCTGTCGCTCCCCTGCCACGGAGTAGGTGCAGGCAAGGGGGGGCGAGAAGTGGAGCCGCTCCCGGGAGAGAAGACAAGGAAGATAGCTCGGGGGACGGTGTGGACGAGCAGGAGAGAGCGGAGGAGGGAGGAGGGAGGGCGGCATCATGGTGCGCCTGCTGCACGTGACGATATTCGAGGGGGTCGGGGTGGCGCCTCACAAGGAGCCCTACGCCTGCGCCGAGCTGCTCGACATCACGGGGCGCCCCATCAAGAAGGAGCGAGTCAAGACGAAGGTGCGCCCGCGAACGCAGCAGAATCCGATGCCGTACAAAGGTAGTTTGCTACTACAGCTTGCCTGCAGCAGGAGGGAGGGTTTTTATCTCTGGGGTTGGAAGTCCTGAAAATCAAAACTTGCAGCACATTCCTGCATGTGGATACTAAATAGTCTACCTGTGGAGAATAACCCTCTCAAGTTCTTTATGTCCCCCCCCTCCAAATTTTTCGTGCACTTTTATTTCTCTCTGGTGTAACAGACGGTCACTCCTGGCTCCAAGCTTGTCTGGGGCGAGGAGAGCCCAAGCCCAAGCAGCAACAGCCGCGGCCGCGGCGGCGGCGGCCGAAGTCCCGTGAGAGGGGCGTTGGGCAGCGGAGAGACCAAGCGCGAGGAAGATGGCGCGCCGTCGAGCGGGGGCGTCTCGCTGACGCTCGGGCGCAAGCATGACCTGCGCAACGTGGGCGCGCTCCCGGTGCTCCGGCTGTCGCTGTGGGGGCGAGAGGTGCTGTCGAAGGACAAGCCCCTCGGGGTGGCGCTGTTGGACCTGGCGTCGCTCCCGAGGGATGGGGGCTCCGTGGAGAGCTGGCAGGCGCTGGAGCCGGCGACTGGCATGGACGTGGACATGGCTTGCGGCAGGTGTGTCGTGTTTGTCATGTTCGTGTGGTTACGGAGCAATGTAGGAGGGACGTGCCGTGTGTGGGTGTATGCATGCCGGAAGGAGTTGCGGTACCCTTGTGTCGTGCCTACGTCTATTGCGTGTGTATTGCCCAGTTCTATGCCCGTTGCTGTCTCCGTGCCTCGTTGTTTGTGGTCGGTGCGCTCAACCCAAGACTGCAGTTTTGCGAGCTGTTCCCTCCTCTCGCCCCCCCTCCCCTCCCCCCCCCCTTCGCCAATCTCTTTTGACGTTGATGAAAATTCAACGAAACGAACCGTCTCCTCTCAGCCTACGGGTCAGCGTGCGCCTGGACGAGGAAGAGGCCAACCGGATCTTCTACGCAGGCGCAGCCGGTCCGGAGGGAGAGGGGGAAGGGTACGTGGTCGGCATCGAGGACGGGCCCGGGGACGAGGACGAGGAGTATGCCGAGTCCGACCCTAACCTTCTGGTTGTGAAGGTGCGGCGCGGCAGGGGGCTGAGAGGATTGGACGTGGACCTCATGGGCGAGGCCAGCAGCGACCCTTTCGTGAAGCTCACGTGTGACGGC